GACCAACTATTTGTGCCGGGATTGAACTGCAGCAGAGTGTTCGAGCAGACTAGGAGCAGGAGACCAGATGGGTGTAGACTTGCATGACCTTGCCCTATATGCAAGTCGCTGGATACTGGTAAGGATAGAGGAAAGGGTTATCATCGATTTCATGAAAATCGGTTAAGTGCGTGGATCGGGGGTTGCGTTAGGGGTACGGCTGTAGACCCTGGGGCTGGTCACTCGGTAACCTCCATAAGTGGAGGCGTGGGAATGTCCGCTCCGTGTTTCCGAGACTGGGTCACCCCGCCCACTTCGCATGCGGCGCAGCCCACTGCGATCTCGAGATGACATTACAGTACAACTAAGTTGCATCGAATGATTTGCACTAGTACGCGTTATCTTTTCCCCTTCTCTGAGCCGATGTGCAGCCTAACCGAAATTGGTCTCGTTGGGATTTGAAACTCCAAAGCGCCTCAAAAATTGGACGAGTAAACCTTTCGATTCTCGGGGGGAGGGGGGGAGGGCGGCAGACGGTCAGTCGAAGGGTTGAAAACAAGGAAGAACAAGATCAAAAACCAAACAACCAGGGACTTGTGCAAATGGTTTTTGATCTTATCTCTCTTTGTTTACAGCCCTTCGAAGGGGCTGACCGACTGTCTGCCTCCCTCCTCCCCCTAGCACTGCTTCACCTGGCACGCCGGCCGGCTGACTATGAAAGCAGCTACTAGGTGGGGGCCGCAAAAATCTTCATCTTTCCGAAGCCTTAGGGTGTCCCTTGTCATGAACACTGTACATACATAGTGGAGTTTCAAGTCTGAAGTGTTACGAGTTGCTAAGGAGATCGTAATTGGGAAGTCTTAAGATGCTTAAGGTAAATGGTTGATGTAAAGGATCTGCTGTGTTCCGGAATCTACACTTCATGCAAAGTTGGTAAACCTATTCTGAAGGCATGGCCCAGCATGCTTTGACAGAGCACAAAATTTTTAGTGTAACGCCGCGAATCCGAACCAGTCACTTCACAGAAGAGTCTGGACTCTTATCCACTACACCGTGAAATCACATTGGTTAGGTTACGACAGCCCGTTGACACGAGAGCGTCGAGCGCTGCCTTGCCTTGGAAGCCACGCCTCATTGAAAGAGAGCAACCATAACGGCGTGGACCTCATCAAATCTCAGCCTCATGCCATCTACATTGGTGAGTCGGAGTTTCGACTTTGAAACCTGACTTCAGCAAGAAACATATTAGCATGAGATGAACCGTTTTATTATGTGACATAAAACTCTGATAAATACAATTATTACACACACCAAATTATAGCTTGTTATTAAATCTCAATCACAAAGTAACGAGGTCCTTAGGGATGACGAGATCGAGCATATTTGCAATTAAATCCATTCCCATTGGTAATTCAGCCTGTAAATTCATTCAAATTCACTTTCCAAACACTTAGCAGGTACGCGATGCGCGCGGTTGCAGCGCAGCTCACGCTGACTCGTACTAAACAAAAACTCACTACATCCGATTCTGTTGAGAACAATGAAGCATAGAATTTCCTCATCCTGTCTGCGTACTGAAAAGAGTTTTGAAAAAATTATTTATGAAAATCTAAAAAGAAATCAGCTTATAACTGACACTGAAGAAGGTATTCTGAAGGGAATTGCTCTGGACGATATTATGACATGAGGCGTAGACACCATTGACCACAATCTGGAAATCTCAAAACAATTCAATAAAAGTGAGTAGAACAATGTAAGATTTGAAAAATTATTTTATCGAGCTGCGCGTCAAAGTATGGCTGCAACTGCACGCTGCGCGTGATGCGACGCGACCGCACGCGTCCGAATGCGTTGATCAACGCGGGGGTTTGCGAAAGGTAAACAGAGTAAGCAGTGGTCTTACCCTTCCATTAGATGTCATTGGTGAATAGATTCCTGTCTCGGTTACGCTTGAAATCTTTGTTACTCGAGCTGTTCGGACGTGTTCATCCTAAAATACACTGTAGTAAGTTATATGTAGTAATAAGTGGTAATTAGACTCTAGGACTTCTTTAACCATCTTCGACTGCCGGAGGCCAAATGGAATTTGATCTTCATTAGGAGGGAATTGAAACTTACTCCAACCACTTGGTAGAGGCAATCCCCCTCGACTATTTTCTCAGCGAGCACAGCTTCACGTGATAGCTCATCTGTAGTAACCTAAACACCAACCTTCAGATATTTTCAGAAAACACTTTGATTGAGTAATGTTACTTAAAGGCTCGAAGGAGATATCTACAGTACCTACAGTATAATGGGGCAAGTTGTGAAGTCTTATAGAAGGAAGCTAGATGACAGAAATGAATTTCCCCTGATAGAGACTTTTGTTTCTTGAAGATCCTTTAAATTCAGTTTCATCTAGTAAAATGCATTTCTGGGGCTCCAAGTCATATAAAATTTATATTACCAGATACAATCGTATTCAGTTGACCCCAGATAAGTAAACAAATAAGCAAATAATCTTACCTGGTTTCCTTCATCTGTGCATTTGGTTCTGTATATGAAGTGTTTTGCGGTGAGTTTGAGCTCAGTTCCATCTGATAGTTCTAGCCTGCAAAGTACACAGTAAAACCGCTTTCGAGTAGATGAGGTAAGAGTTCAATGATTCGCCGCGCGACGAGACAACTAGCCAGGGATCGCGAAGTGCCGAGTACAACGCCCCACACCGTGCGTTTTCAGTAGAGGAGAGCTTCAAAGCAAGGTAGCGGGCTCACGGATGTTAGTGGTCCCAGCGCAACACGTACCGAATCAAATTCACTGGCGGAAAGGCGGACTGAAAGGCCTTCAGTCACGAATTTGACACGACCTTCAGCGACAGCTCTTTTACAGAAAGCCCCCGTGAAGAGTTGATAAGGAATCGATGCGGCCGACAACTGATAAGGATGAGATCTATGTGTGTTAAACTCCACCCATCATCAACCCCTTTTGAGGAATTCAACAAGTTTGATTACATACCTAACAAATTCCGCTTTTTGCGATGGGACTCGGTGGAGCCAGAAGGTCACGGGGGCGTATCGCACCTAAAACCACAAATTTGATTTGTATTTGATGAATTTATTCCATAAAAATTGAGAACTGGAAGATCTGAGATGTTACCTCGGCGCCTTTCAGTGTTTGAACCCAATCGTTAACCTTCAGATCATCGAGTCGCTTCATTTCGCCGGTAATGAGACGGACCTCAAGCAAATCGGAAGTAATATAGCATGACAAATATTGGAGACACTATGTCGGGAAATAAGCTTAATAGAGGGCAGGCGATAAAGTCTTCGGCGTCAAACCATCCCGTCTTGGGATGTACATTCGATATATTTTACAAGTTTGCAAATTCTGTTGAGTAATTTTCACCTTAGTATCGCCCGTGAAGCAGTAGTAGCCACCACCACCTCCGCCGCCACCTCCGCCGCCGGCTGCAACTGCTGCTGGAGCGACGGCCGGGTAGTAGATGGGCTCGGCCTGCAAAAGATAAAAGTAGGATCAAGGAATTCCAACAATGCTCTACAAAATTCCTACGGACCACAAATTGCGGAAGTTGTGGAGGTGGCTGGAGTGGCTGAAGAGGCGGGAGTTGCTGAGGAGGTGGAAGTGGCTGGGCGGGCCCAGGTGGATCAACGATCTGGAATAGCGTGACATATTCAATTTGCACTAGATCTTCCATGAAAAAAGCTAGTTACCGGTGGTTCCTCGGTGCTATCGTCGTCGGGAATTTCGACGCCTTCCTGTGCGATTTCTTCCTCCACAATCACATCTTCACCCTCGCCAACAGCCTCGAATTTCCATAAGTTAGAAAAGGAAAAAGACAATGGAAAATAGCTTGAGAACTGACATTTGGAGCGATCGGCTGTTCTACAGGAACGATCGGAGCCTGAAACATCAAATTCGTCAAACTCGTTCAATTACCTTTCCCTACCCCTAACTCCATAATCTGAAGAACCCAAAAAAGTTTTATTACTCATATGAGCTAAAATCTCGAGGATTGTCCAGGAAAGAGAAGAATTTTAAGAAATACTTAGTAATGGGTAACGGAACTTCTCCCCTATTGCGGCGTTCTCCCTTGCGGCATGCGGCAAATTTCACTGCGGTTACCGTACTCACCCC